CCTGGGTAACAGATAGGTTGGTGGTCCCTTCCATTAGAGCTCACATGCCAGATCTGGCCCCCTGCCAGCATCCTACCTGTCCCCTCTCCTGTCCAGGCACGAAGCTCAGAGACTAGAGCAAGAAGCCCAAGGCCGGCTTGAGAGGCAGAAGATCTTGGACCAATCAGAAGCTGAAAGAGCTCGCAGGGAACTCTTGGAGCTGGAGGCTCTGAGGTACACTGAGAACTAGAGGAGGAAGAGGTTGGTAGGGTACCGAGGGTATCTGAAAAGCAGCTACTCAGGGAGAAGCGGGCAGGTGAAAGCTGCTACAGCCTAAATCAAGGCCAGGGAGGAGGACAGGGCTTCTGGCTGGGTCCTGCCTGACGAGGCTGCCTCCTTTTCTAGCACGGCTGTGGAGAGCACCGGGACAGCCAAGGCAGAGGCCGAGTCCCGCGCAGAGGCGGCACAGATTGAGGGAGAAGACTTCATCCTGCAGGCCAAGCTGAAAGTGGAGGCCTTGGCCATTGAGACCGTGAGTGGAGGCGAGGCCGTGGGAGGGGAAGGTTTACTGAGTACCCACCCACTTAGTGCCAGGAGCTGACTGGGTATACTTCACCGGTATTTATTAATATGCACAACAATCTATAAGAGACATGATAGCCTCATGTAGTTCACAGATAAGGAAACCAAAGCTCAGTGAAGACAGAGTGGTAAACCAGACGGATCACCTCCTACCCTCAAACAGCTTGTTGCTCACACTTATATTGAGCTTTCTATGTGCCAAGTACCTTGAGAATGCTGTGAACATGTATTATTTAATCTTCACAACAACCCTTTGAGGTAGGTACTGTCCTTTGTCCTGCAGAAGAGGAAACCAAGTGTTATGGATTGAATTGTGTCCCCCAAAAATATATGTCATAAATCCTAAACTCTATGCCTGTGGTTATAATCCCAGTTGGGAACTGGTTGTCTCTGTTATGTTAATGAGGCAGGATTAGCATAGGGTGTGTGAGTCAATCTCTTACAAAATATAAAAGGAGCAGATTAAGCAACCAAAGATGGGGGAAGGTAGATGCTAAGCCACATGGAGATATCCAAGGAATCTGGAAAGAGAAGCTGAAGAGACAAAGACATTCCCCCAGAACTGACAGAGAAAGAAAGCCTTCCCCTAGATCCGGCGCCCTGAATTTGGACTTCTAGCCTCCTAAACTGTGAGAAAATAAATTTCTGTTTGTTAAAGCCACTTGTGGTATTTCTGTTATAGCAGCACTAGATGACTAAGACAACGTGTGTCCCTGCCACATTTAAAACACATTCATCCCATCATATCATAGCAAAATTCTTAAATCAACTCCAAATCCAAAATTTAAAAATTCCTCTTTATCTGTGAAATTGAGAATACAAATTTTCTACTGGAACCGGCAACTCTGGTCCCTTTAATTTGGGTGGCCACATTCTCCTAGTCCATTTGAGTGGTGACTCCATCGTTTCAGACCCCAGAGGTCGTGGCCCTACCCTTTGAGACTGAGGCAGCTCTGCTTCTTGTGTTCTTTGTTTCTTCAGCTTCTGCTTCCTGGTTCCTTGGCCTCTAGGCCCCTTGGGCCGGACTGCCTGCATCTGCCCTGCAGGGTCAAGTGTTCAAAGCTCTTTAGCTCCACCAATAAGTGCTTGGAAGCATCCCATTCCACCAGTAAACTTTGACTGGAAGACACTCAGCTCTCTCGCTCTGTTGGTTGGCAAGCCTAGCTTCACCAACAAGTGCCTAGAGGCATGCCAGGAAGCCTCCTGCCAAAGGCACTCAGCTCTTTTGCTCCATGGGTTGGCTCCAGTGCCATCTTGCACTTGTCTCCTGGTTCTGCTGCTGCTGCTTCTTACCATTTGTACTGTCCCCAGTGTAATGGCTCTCCTCACTTCATTCTGAGCCCTCACCAGAATTGTCTTTGATGTCCATAATTCTACCAACACTCTCTTCAGGGCAGTCTAGGCTTTTACTGTTAGGCATTTTAAAATTCTTCCAGCCTCTATCCATTCACAGTTTCAAAGCTGCCTCCACATTTTAGGTATCTGTTAGAGCAGCACCATTCCTGGTACCAAATTCTGTCTTAGTTATCTAGTGCTGCTATAACAGAAATACCACAAGTGGATGGTTTAACAAAGAAAAATTTATTCTCTCATAGTGTAGGAGGCTAGAAGTCCAAATTCAGGGCACCAGCTCCAGGGGAAGGCTTTCTCTCTCTTTCAGCTCTGGAGGAAGGTCCTTGTCATCAATCTTTCCCTGGTCTAGGAGCTTCTCAGGTGCAGGAACCCTGGGTCCAAAGGACGAGCTCCACTCCCAGAGCTGCTTTCTTGGTGGTATGAGGTTCTGCTCACTTCTGTGTTTTATATCTCAAAAGAGATTGACTTAAGACACAACCTATCTTGTAGATTGAGTCCTGCCTTATTAACATAACGTCCACTAATCTTACCTCATTATCATCATAGAGGTAGGATTTACAACACATAGGAAAATCACAACAGATGACAAAATGATGGACAATCACACAATACTGGGAATCATGGACTAGCCAAGTTGACATACATTATTTGGGTGGACACAGTTTAATCCATAATAGGTGGGATAGGTCAGAAGCCTCGGTCCACCTGGATGGAAGGGAACCTCCTCCTCCTCCTCCAACAGGTAGCAGGGAGATGAGGGGACACAAACCCAGATATTGCCTGATGGCCTCAATTTTTAACTAAGTAAGTAACCAAGTTCTTCAAAAGTGAGGGTGTAGAAAATAGGAAGAGAGTTGACAGCTGTAAATATTTAGAAGCATTCAGAGAACAATGAGAAGAAAGGTGGCTAGAAAGGAAGAGAACTGGTGAACAGGGCTTAGATCGGAAGGAACCCCTTAATCCATAAGCTATTTATAATACTGTCATCATGGTGGCATCTGTCCACATGGCTAAGCTTTTCTAACAGAAACCTTCCTCCTGAGTGTGAGAATGGAAAGGATAGATCGCATGTGACACTGATCCAGGATCAGTTTTGTCCCAGAGGGTCAAGTGTACAGGAATAGAATTTGTGAGAAGTGTGGAAGTGATAAGGTCCTATCGGAATAGCTAAAAAAAGACCAGGAAGACAATCCAGAGATGGGTGAGAAGACAACAGAGGAGCGATAAGGAAGGAAGGGAGCTGGTGGGAAGGAAGAGGATGGAGTTCAGATCTCAGAGTTGGGGCAGGTGGGAGAATAACCCAGTCCAAAGGGGACACGGAGTTGGGCAGGGGCTGAAGCAGAACAGAACTTGTGAAAGTCCTCAGAGTTGAGGTCAATAAGGCCAAGCTGTTGGCAAGGCCATCTGCAAGGATATTAGTGAGGGTTCTAGCAGGAGAGAAGGATGGATAGGGGTGGCCGGGAGGTCTGAGCCAGGGGCCCACGGAGCCAGTGATGGTGAGAAAGGAAGTGATGGTGCTGCCAGAGGTGAATGCCTTGAAGGAGGAGTGTTGACTCAATGGTGAAAAAAGAACGTCTAGTGGCATTGGGCTCCGAGGAGGGAAAAGTTTTGCCCTCCTGGTCTGGAGCACCTGGGGTTTGAGAGAATGAGCTGCCACCGCGGGCAGGTGCTGCTGGGGAAGCCCAAATCCTTGAGGCAGCAGAGGCTAAAACAAGGCAAGGATAAGGAAAGCTTTTACTCTCAGTCCAGGGAAGCTTTTAAATATTGATGTGTAAACTAGCCCCACCTCTACCCAGAGATTGACTTAATTGGTATGGGGTAGGGCCAGGACATGAATTTATTGTTTAACTTTTAATTTGGACAGTTTCAAATTTACAGAAAAGTTGCAAGAATAGTACAAAGAATTCCTATATACCCTTCCAACCCAGATTCTCCAAGGGGTAACATTTTAATCACATTCTTCATCATTACTTCTCCATACACACTATTCCCCTCAAGCTGTTTGCATCTAAGTGGGCACCAATGCTTTAGAAAGTTCCCCAGGTCATGCTATTATGTACCCAGGATCAATAACCACCACGAGTTAGCAGAGGAATGCAGAGTAAAAAAGCATAAAATGGTAAGAAGGTAATGGGGCAGGAACAGTTAAGGAAATGGGGGTGGGATGTCCCCCTGCTCCTGGCCCAGGGCCTTAGGAAAGCATGGACAAGGGATTGGTGGAATTCAGGCCTCTGATGCCTTCCCTTGGAACAGGCCATCTGAGCCTGGATCTTCACTTGTCCCTTTTTGCTTTGTCACTGCCCAACACTGTCTGGCACTCTTTGTGTGAATGAAATGCACAAGTCATTTAGTGCCAGAACTGGCTGGGAGCTTCCAGCAGCCTCTGAGCCTGGTAGACTAGGTGATGAGATAGGCCAACAGTTCACAAAGGAGGGGCCATCTGTTGTGGGCATGTGAGGAGGAAGGGGTGATTGAGGGAGGACGGTGAAGGGGGGATAAGTCAATTCCACGCTGCTGAGAGTAAGCAACTGTCCCTTCCCAGCCCCTCCCACTATCCCAGGTTGTTTTTCCCTCAGAAGGTAGTGTGGTGCCCTAGGACAGGGTGGCAGGACAGGAAGAGTGGGCATAGAGGAGGCAGCCAGGTACCTTTTCCAGCATCTCCCCTGGGTATAAGGGGAAGGGGTCCTGGGCCAGCTGGATCTCCAGGTCAGCAAGGCAAAGCTGTACTTGTCCTGTGATGTCAAACAGCACTGAACCCTGGGCATCCCGGGACACAGGATTGGCCACTGTGCAGTAGTGGTGTGGGGGGACAGTCACCATGGCACGGGGGCAAACAGTACCCTACTGGAGGGTAAGAAGAGGGGTGAAGACCAAGGCAGGGCCTCCGCCAACTCCCAAAGGAGGCAGTGAATGGGAGAGAAATCTGCCCACCTATTCCCCCAGGAATTCCCCTATCACCTGATGGAGGGCCACTCCTGCCTAAAAGAAGGAAGAAAGGGACTGCGGACTGTGACCATGACAGCCAGCCTAATGGGCCCTCTATAGCCCCAAGGGCTCCACACATAACCCACTCCACACTAACCTCTCATTGTCCTGCCAGATGTAGGTCTTTGGCCCTACCTCCACTCAGTACATGTTGCTGTTCTGGTCCAGGACACGGATGTAGTAGTATGGAGGGGATGCGGATGATGAACTCTTCTGTTGCCATGGTGATCCCAGGGCTGGCCAGAGTGAAGCACAGAGAATTATAGACATGTGGGAAGAGGACACACGATGAGCACGTGGAATGGGCCGAGGAGAAAGGAGTCTGAGGAGGGACTGTGGTTGGGGAAACAGACCTCCAGCTCCAACTGTTCCACACTTCTGCACAGCCAGTGCCCGCTGCCTTTCTTAGTCCTACCTAGCATAACATGCCCATTGAGACCTCACCCTTGCCAAGAACCACTGAAGCTCAGAGTTCTTTGTTGACTCTGTTCCCTCCCACCCACTAACATTGCCTCCACCAAACTGCCTTACATCAAAGCCTCAACCCCCACAGAATGAGGGAGAGTTGGGAGAGTTAGTCCTTCTGGGATCTTCAGCACAGAGGGAAAGATCTCTGAACAGCTCACTGGCTCTTGGAGGCAGACAGCCATTATTCCAGGAGATCCTGAGGGCTTCAGCTGTATTCAAATGTTACCCATAAATACACCCCGGAGCCAAAGAATATTGCATGATCTTTTTCTGAGCCTCCACCCTTCCTGTACTTCAAACAATCCTGGTGTAACTATTAAGACCTAGTTCTCCTCTTGTGGAAGGAAACCCCTGACAGAACTGATGCTCCCAGAGAATCAGCTGGACAGGAAATATACAAATCATTCTAGCCTTTTTCCTCCCCAGCTCCCTCTCTGGTTTGTAGCCACCCTTGGCCCTTTGCTGCTGCGGGCAGGGATGGATAGGAAGATGAAAGAAGGTGAATAAGTATTGTATTCCATCTACCCTCATCCTACCTGCTTCTGAACATGGCAGTTTACCAAAATCTCATTCCAACTGCCAGCACCTTTGGACTTTGGACATGTTGTAACTCAAAGGGAACCAAGTTTACTAGGTGACTTAGAGCCTTGTCCTCTGAGACACTGGCCAGAAATTATTTTTTCCTTTTTTTTTTTTTATTGTACTTCAGGTGAAGGCTTACAGAACAAATAGTTTCTCATGAAACAGTAGTACACATATTGTTTTATGACATTGGTTAACAACCCCACAACATGTCAACCATCTACCTTCTCAACCTTTTTTTTTGGTGTGAAAATACACAGCCAAAGATACACCATTTCAAAAATTTCTACATGCACAGTTCAGTGTCATTGACTACACTCTTCCAATTGTGCTGTTATTCTCACTTAAGATGAAGGCTTACAGAACAAAGTAGTTTCTCATTTAACAGTTACTACAAATGTGGCCCTATGACAATGGTTAACAATCTCACAACACATCAACAATATCCTTACTCAGCCTTGGGTTCCCTATCACCAGCTTCCTTGTCCCCTTCTGCCTTCTGGCCCTTGTCACTGGACTATTGTACCTCATTAGTCTCATTTGATTTTACGGGGTTGTCCACTCCCAGGCTGAACGGTGAACCTCGGAGATAACTTCACCACTGAGCTAAAGGGGTGTCTGGGGGCCATACTCTCGGGGTTTCTCCAGTCTCCTTTAGGCCAGTAAATCTGATTTTTTGTGTGAGTGTGAGTTAGAATTATGTTCTACATCCTTCTCCAGCTCTGTCCAGAGCCCTCTGTTGTGATCCTGGTCAGAGCAGTCAGTGGTGGTAGCCGGGCACCATCTAGCTGTACTGGACTCAGTCCGCTGGAGGCCTTGGTAGCTGTGGACCATTAGTCCTTCGGACTAATCTTTTCCTTGTATCCTGTTCTCTTCATTCTCCCTTGCTCCCGAAGGGATGAGACCAGTGGAGTATCTTAGATGGCCGCTCACAGGCTTTTAAGACCCCAGACACTACTCACCAAGGTAGAATGTAGAGCATTGCCTTTATAAGCTGTTATGCCAATTGAGCTAGATGTTTCCCAAGACCATGGTCCCCACAGCCCTCCACCCAGCAATTCAGTCCCTCAGGGAGTTTGGATGTGTCTATGGGGCTTCCATAACCTTTCCTTGTACAAGTTGTGCTAGTTTCCCCTGTACTGTGTACTGTCTCACCCTTCACCCAAGATACCACTTATCTATTGCCGATTTAGTATTCCCCCCCCATCCCTGGTAACCAACAAAGATTGTTACATTTTGTGTGCGAACTTTTTCATGGGTTTTTACAATAGAGGTCTCATACAATATTTGTCCTTTTGTTGGCCAGACATTTTTGAAGCTACCACCGGAAAGTAATGGCACCTCTTCAACTCAACCATTCACCCAGCTTCCAACCTGGGTGAGGAATGGGAAGTGAAAAAGAAAAAGGGGTGGCTTGGCGTAGGAAACCTAGGCAGGAGCCATGAAATTACAGAATCAAGGCTGGAAGTGGCCCAAGAGAAGAGTTTTACATGGTGCAGTGCAACGGGTTTCTCTCATATGTGACCTTTCTGGCCTTGGGTTTAAAGTTCAGCCAAAAAATAATTGGTTGGACAGTAGCCTGCTCTGTAATTGGTCTATTTCATGCATCTTGGAGGAATTGGTCAGTCTACTATGCAAATAGAGTGTGTAAAACCCCCAATAGGGTTAAGTGACTTTGTGGGGGAATTGGTCTATTACTATGCAAATTAAGTAACTGAGCCTTCCAAAAGGATTGGTCAGTTCATGGTCTGGTGGGAGCATCATGATTTGAAATTGACAAGAAGTAGGCTTACATAAGGGCCAAATGCACAGAGGTTGAGTGGGACCTCACTACCAACAAGAAGAGTCTGGATCAAACCATGTCGTTTAAACCCGGGATCCTGGCACTGAGAACCCCCTAGACACAGAAGAAAGAGAGCTTTAACACTGAAGATGGTGTGAGACGGCACGAGACAGTGCAGCAACACAAGTGGCAGCAGCATGAGCAGCAGGAACCAGGAGACCAGCGCAAGGTGCCTGTAGTGGACTTGGGAACCCATGCAGCCACAAAGAACTGAGCACCTTTGGGCAAGAGGCCTGCTGGTGGTGTAGGGTGTCTCTGGGTAATTGTCAGTGGAGCTAAAGAGCTGTAGCACTTGTCTGAGAAAGGCAGGGGTCTAAAGAAGTCCTGGCGGTGGGCAGAAGGGCCTCCTGCCTACGGACACGGCTGAGAAGAAGCTGAGAGCTGAGATACAGACTGTACCCTATCTCCTGAGATGCATCCTATTGCTTCCAAGTTGATTCTAATCCTGAGTTGAAGCCTATTACTCCATTAATAAGCCACATAATTGTAAGTATGGTGTGTGAGTTCTCTGTGGCAATAGCAACAAATTATCAAACTCAGCAGAGAAGTAGAGAGTGCCGTGGGGGGTACTGTTGGTGTCAGAAATAGTAAAACAAAGTTGGAGAATGGAGGTGTGTCTAACCTCCACCTCATAGGAGGTGCTTTGTGCTGATGGTGAATTCTTATCCCGCCTCCTGAATGTACACTAGGTCTGATGCTAGTATATTCCACATGGTGCATACAGTCTTTATAATTTCAGTTTTTTGGATGGCATTTAGAAATTGAGTTTTCACACGCTCCTAATTTCCCACTTCTCTTGCAGAATTAGGAGACCAGGAACACTGGACCCACATTCCCACTTGGCAAAATAGGCTGGGGCCAAGTAACAGCTGTGCTGCATATGTGGGCACAAGCATTCCACTCATCACAGTCCCCACTATTCCCTAATGTCTTATAGCTGGGTCGTTGGACTCACATCTTCTCCCTGGCTCGTGTGTGCATTTAAATTTACCACCTCTGCTCTGGTTTAATGGAGTCATGGTGGTGCAGTGTTTAAGAGTTATGCTGCTAACCAAAAGGTTGGCAGTTCAAATCCAACAGATGCTCCTTGGAAACCCAATAGGGCAGCTCTACTCTGTTTTAAAGGGTCACTATGAGTCAGAATCTACTTGACGGCAATGGGTTTGTTCTAGTTTCAACTCTCCAAAACAGCACTGTCCCATAGAACTTTCTGCAATGATGGAAATGTTGGAAATCTACACTGCCTTTGGACTAGCCACATGTGAATTTGGAGCACTTGAAATATGGCTAGCGCAACTGAGGAACTATTAAATCTGAATTAACTTAAATGTATAGGGCCAAACGTGGCTGGTTGACCTCATATTGAACAGTGCAGCTCTCAATAGCTGAGACTCAGATATGGACAATGAGTTATTTGAGAGCTAATGTCTAATCCCATCTTTCTAAAAGGCGGTATGTCACAGTGGTTAGGGGCATGGATTCAAAGCCAGACTGCCAGGACTTCATTTCTGATTTGTCCTGTTTATACTTTGTATTTCCTTAATGTCTTACTTCATTTGAAAGAGGTTACAGTTTTGATCTGCTTTCCTGGGACGTTTTCCACACCAGAGAGATGTTATTCTGCTCCTCATAATTTCATCTTGCAACTTTGTATAGGACTTCACCTTACACACTGATACTTTCCTGTGGCTCATTTTGATGTGAAGTTAGTTTCCCTGAACTTGTAGGAGGGTGGCTTTTCTAGCTTCAGAGCTCCCTCTCCTGTTGTTTTCCAGTAGTGTGCAAAAATACAGGGGCTAGTCTCCTCACTCTGTTTCCCTCGCCCATTTGTTCTGGCCCTTCTCCTTCCTTCCTATTTCCCTGTCCTTCTCAGGTTGTCCCCACTCTCCTAAATTGTTCCCAGTGTGGGGTCTTGTCCTAGAAAGAGCACTTTCAAGAGTCCCCGGGGGCTGGGACTGCCTGGGTCTAAGGCTTATTTGCTGCGTAATCTTAGACAAGTCCATTGACCTCCCTGTACCTCAGTTTTCTCATCTGTAAAATGGGCATGGATAATGGCAGCTACCTCAGAGTTATAAGGATTAAGAGATTTACTATATAAAGTCTTCAGAGCCTGGCTCAGGTTTTTTCTGCAGAGGCAGGGAATAACCCCTGAAGCCCAGCTTTCCTATTCAGTTAGGGGAAGTGACAGCACCAGAGGCTCCCTACCCCCCTGGCATCCCGGCCTTAGCCCTCACTTGTTTACTGTCGGGAGGGTGGCAAGTCTGTGGCGTCCCAGCTGTGGGGCTAAAAGAACAGCAAAGCAGGGGCACCGGACAGCCAAGCGGAGCCTTTTCCAGCTGCTTCTTTGCCAGGTTCTCTGCAGGGGTGGGAGCCTGGCCAGGAAACCAGATGGGGAAGAGGAAGGGCCAGGGCTGCAGGAGGAGGTGCAGACAAGGCGCCCCAGGGGAGATCTGAATTCTGGAAGGCCACAGAGGGCTAGGAGCTGGCTCTGGGAACAGCCTCGGTTGGCTCCCTGTTCGATGATCCCACATCCCCCAGGGCTGAGGCCTCCACCATCTGCCACCCCAGCTGGGCCCAGTCAGGTGGACTGAGAGCCTCACCCAGCTCAGCGACTCAGCTGAGAGTCATCCACTTAGCTGATAGGGCTGGGCTGGGCTCCTGCCTTGTTCCAAGGCCAAGTCTTTATTGCAGTAGCAGGACCCTGTCTCCCCTCCCTCACTCCCACCTGACCTACCATGCCTAGAAGAAGGCTGTGCCTTCTTCCTGGACCATCTGCCAATTTCACCCAGAACAGGTTTTGCCTTCTTACCCTCGCCACCCCATCCTTCCATGGAGGTGAGCCCAACAGGGACCTCTCAGGGCATCCAGGCAAACCATTTGACTCAGCCAGCATGTTCCTGACAAGTCTCAGATTTAGACTTTTGTGGTTTACCAGATGACACTGTGTACAGTCAGATCATTTTACTCCCAATATATCGAGGCCCTCAAAAGACAATGGTTACAATTGTGTCAACATTTGGAAGGTCCTCCCCAGTCCTTGGGTTTGGCCTCAACTCCCAAAATCTACCCACCCACCCACCTACCCAGACCTCCCTTCAGTCTTTGCTGCTGACATCCATCCCCTATTCTACTCTCTTGCCCAATCACACTTCTTTCAAGTGTCATGAGGCTCCTGCATGAACCCCACTCTACTAGCGTTAACCATTGCCAACTTTCACCCAAAATCTTGCAAAGACCAATGTCTCCCCCACACACAAAAAGGGCGGGGTAATGGTTGGGTAAAGTGAGAACAGAACAGCCTGTAAGAAGCAGAGGGTAACTTCACCCTCTACTTAAGACACCAGCCTCTTGGCTCAGAAGATAAATCTATGCTACAGCATAAACTAGTAATGAATGAATGAACCACAAGTCACTACAAAGAGATCTTCAGGGTCAATTCCAAGTGGCTGAAGCAGTGAATCTTAAATGGCAAATGCCAAAGTGACCAAAGTGTCTAAAGCCTTTATGCTCAGACTGGTCCATGGTGAGCAGCATCAGCACCACCGGAATGTGTGTTAGAAATGCAGACTTTTGGGCATCACCCTGGAGCTGCAAAGTCAATCAGCATTTTAACTAGATCCTCAATGATTTGGGCTCCATCATCAGCTCTGGTCGAATGCAGCTACTTTCAAGGCTGGCTGCACATTAGAGCCACCTGGAGACCTTTAAAAGCCAGGGGTCCAAGTGTTATTTTTAAAAGATCTGCTGACTCCAATATGCGGCCAGGGTTGAGAACCAGCGGGGGCAATATGAATCTCGCAGGCTCTGTCACTGCCCTTGTGATCTTACTAGCTTCTGAGCCTTACTCTCCTCAACTGTGAAATGGGAATAAAAGTGACTGCCTCCTGGAGTTGAAAGGATTAGAGAATGGAGGAGTACACAGTCGACGCTGACTGAGCAGTGGCGAAGGGAAATGATGAGCTCTGACTACACACTGGGAACTTCATTTATTCCCCTCCAGCCCCCTCTCCCATCCCAGGTGCTGGTGAGACTCTGGGCCAAGCAGTCCCCTGGCTAATATAAGCCCTTTGTCCCTGCCCCTGGGCTCTTGGTCCAGGCAGGCATGATGTTAGCGGTAAGGCCGCTGACCCAGCCCTGCCACCACTGAGTCCTCAACCTTACGGTTATTGGACTGGAGCATTATCTCCTGCTGTCCAAACCCGAGTGCGTGGAAAAGGCACGCGACGTTCAGGATGAACAGGGGCTCATCTTCGCGGAGTTTTCCTTCACTGATTTTTTAAGTCAAACAGTCTTTGTTTAAAGACTGTGAGTCACATGACTCAGGAAGTACAGAAAAGCTATTTTCACCAGGCAGCCTCTCAGCAGGGAGACCGTGGCATCTGCTTTAGAGGGCTGTTAGTGGAAATTCTTGAGAAAACGCCTCATGTGAATCACTGTTTTTAGCAGCCAAGTTTTAGGAATGTTTCTTCGTAAGAAAATCTTTTTTCAAATTTTTTTATACTTTAGATGAAGGTTTACAGAACCTATAGTTTCTCATTAAACAGTTAGTACACATATTGTTTATGAATGGTTAACAACCCCACAACATGTCAACACTTTCCCTTCTCGACCTTGGGTTCCCTATCACCACCTTTCCTGTTCCCTCCTGCCTTCTAGTCCTTCTCCCTGGGCTGGTGTGCCCCATTAGTCTCATTTTGTTTTATGGCCCTGTCTAATCTTCGGCTGAAGGGTGAACCTCAAGAGTGACTTCATTACTGAGCTTAAGGTGTGTCTGGGGGCCATACTTCTGGGGTTTCTCCAGTCTCTATCAGGCCAGTAAGCCTGGTCTTTTTCTGTGAGTTAGAATTTTGTTCTACATTTTTCTCCAGCTCTGTCTGGGGTCCTCTGTTGTGATACCTGTCAGAGCAGTCAGTGGTGGTAGCTGGGCACCATCTAACTGTACTGGACTCAGTCTGGTGGAGGCCGTGGTAGTTGTGGTCCGTTAGTCCTTTGGACTGATCTTTCCTTCGTATCTTGTTTTCTTCATTCTCCCTTGCTCCTGAAGGGGTGAGACCATTGGAATATCTTAGATGGCTGCTCACAGGCTTTTAAGACCCCAGACGCTATTCGCCAAGGTAGAATGTCGTAAGAAAATCTTATCTGAGCTCCAGCCCAACTGGACCACCTTGTGGGAGGAGGAGCAGCTTGGTGGGCCCCACGTGGGGTTGGGGGAGGGTGCGGCAGCTCTGCCAGCCAAGGACTCTGCTCATCCCTCTGCCCACATGCCAGCAACTAGTGCCAACCACTGCAGTTGGAGGACCGCCAGATGAGAAATGACCCAGAAGCCAGGTTTCAGAACCCTAGATCAGTGTTTTCAAACCCATCCAATCACAGGACTCAGCTGGGATTGTTAATCCTGTTCATGCTGATTCCCAGGCCTCTTCCCAGACCCACTGGACTCTGAAACTTATATTTTTGCCAAGTGTTCCCAAATAACAGCTACCACTTATTAAGAAATTACTCTCTGCCAGGCATTGTTACATGCCTTTAATCAACTCATTTAATCCTTATAAGAACCTAGAAATTAAGGAATTAACGCAGGACCACATTTATCAAGGGGTGGAACCAGAATTCCATCCTGAGTATTGTAACAGCATGGCCCCCAAACCAGGAGGCAGTTTAGCTTCTCAAGCAGAAACATCAAGACTCTAGCAAGGGCTTAAGGACCTGGGTGAGGGTGGGCACACCCCCAGGCAATAGTGCCAATGGTAGTTCAAAGGTGAGCGTTTTCTGCAATCTGGGCCAGTGCCTAGATCCTGCTCCCTCAAACCCAGGAAGAGCAGCACCCAATGAGGACGTGCAAGCACCTAGAATTAGCTTGGGGCCCTCAATTCAAGGTGGCTGCCCTACCTGCTCATGGCTATAGAGAGCTCCCTTGCCCGAACAGCCAGGAGCCCTGTGTGCCAAGGGTGGAAACAGGCAGGAGTTTACAGGGGAGCCACCTGCCACCTCACCTGACAGCTAGCCTTTTCTTCATAACCCAGGGGTCCACCCAGGCAGGGATCAGAGAACACAGAGGACACCTGCCTCAGCAAGATTCCCCATCAAGTGCTTCACACCCAAGTGCCAGCTCTAAGATCTCCAGAACCTCAGGCTGGCAGGTCCAACTGAGCTTCCTGGTTTTTATGCAACACTACAGCATACTTCACTTCCCCCTCCTGAGGGGAAGGAAAAGAGCCTTCTCACCAAACCCTAAGCCCTCTGGAAATCAAGCCTACCTTAAGATCACCCTGCTAATGACTTCTCAGCTGATCTGCCAAGGCCCACAGTTGGCATAGCCCCGACTGGGGCAGCAGGAGAAAGCTCCCGTTCCGCAGAGATGAGGGGTCTCGATGGGGACAAGCCACATTCTAGGAGCTCAAGGGGACAGGTCAGGGCCCAGGTCCCCAGGAGGAAAGGGGGAGGCAAACAGGGATCAATCAATCAAGCTCCAAGATGAAGTCCAAATGAACCTCTTCAGTTCCCCTTACTTTGCATGTGGGCGCTTGAAGTCACAGATTTTCGGGGTTATGAGCTGATGAGTTGATCTACCTTTGTTTTAAAACCCAGAAAAACCTCCAATGAGGAGAGTAAAACCTCACGAGGCAAAGCCTCCTCCCACCTTCTTCCTCCTCTGGTTCAGTAAGGTCTTGCCTGCCCCAGCAGAAGCATGGCCCTATAAAGCAGGGTGGCCTAGAGAGATTCTTGAGGGGCACAGAGTCCCACCACTAGTTTGAAGGCCAGTAAGTATACTCATATCCAGAGGTGCAGCTGAGCAAATCCTCACTCAGATCAGATCGGGAACCTTCCTCACCCAGGGCAGGTATCACTTCCTGCCTGGAAGTAGGCTTGGGCATTTAAAGGGCTGCCTCAGAGCTAGCCGCCAGTGCCAGGTGAGACTGAAGGGTGACAGGGCCCGAGACAGGGGGCAGGTGCTGAGTTCACCTTTGACCCATCTGGCTTTAATTTCCCAATCTGTGTGAGTACAAATCTACCTCTCAACCCACCCCTCCCTGCCAAGTGTGGCCAATTGTCCAGGATCAAGCCACAGCCCCTTAAGATAATTTTGCATCTTTTATTTCAGACTTAGGAAATTCAGCCCCAATCTCCAAATAGACGTTCAACAGAAAAACACACGCACAGACCCCTTCCTTCCTGCCAGGTGCTTTGTCGGGAGCTTGGCATTCCTCTCCTCTGCCCGTGTCCCCTGCTGTCCAGGGCTGGGGAAGGGGGGCCCGGCCCCAGCAGGTGCGGACTCTGCCCCTGGAGGAGGGAGCAGCAGCCATCAGTATTTCCGCTGCTGCTGCCGGGGGAAGAGACTGCTCCCTGAGGACCGGAGCGGGGGGCTGGAGGGGCTGGGGTCCTCTGAGTCCAGGCTGAAGAGGTCCCTGCCAGTGCGAAGAATCTGCTCCTCCAGCTTCTTGTGCCGCTTCATGTCTGAAAGGACCTTGTCCAGGCGGGCCTCCCGTTTCTGGCCCCGGGCTGAGCTTCCTGGAGAAGGGGAAGGTGAGACATGTGGAAGGCACTGGGGCAGTGTGCACTGCACCTGTCTGGATCTTACTCATCACTTGGGGAGCTTGTTAAAAATACAGATTTACAGGTCTCTGTCACAGAGGTTCTGAGGTTTGCGGTTGGGCCTCAGATGGGATGGGCACTGAAGGACTCTCTAAGGGGGTGACGGTGGTGCATCTGAATTATGACAAGGCACCAGCAATGTGACAGTCAGGGAAGAACATCCCAGGCAGAAGGAAGAGCAAGTGCAAAGGCCCCAGGGCAGGAGCAGAGGAGAATGAGAGCAGGGGGCGAGGTGAGAGAGAAGCGAAAGAGATGACACAGGGCCTTACAGGCCGGGCTAAGGAGTTTGGATTTCTCACTCTGTGTGAAATGGAGGCCTTAAGCAGAGAAGTGACATGGTTCATATTTTAAAAGTATCATCCTGGTTACTGAGACTGGAGGCAGGGAGACCAGCTAGGAGCTACGCAACCATCCTGCAAAGAGACCATGGTAGCTTGGATGAGGGTGAGGTGTTGAAGGTGGAGAGAAGTGGATGGACTTGGAAATGCTGGGGGGCAGAGTTAATAGCACTTCCTTGCTGCATGCTTGAATGTTGGGATAACAGAAGAATCAAGAATGGCTCCGAGGCTTTTGGCTTAAACTTGGTGGATATGGATTCTGGGAGAAATCTGAGGGGGAGTTTGGAGGTGCCAGATTTTTGAGGAATCTGGAGTTCAGGTGAGAGGTGAGGGTTGGAGATTTAAGTGACGTCTAAAACCATGGGCCTGGATGAGACGGCCTGGAGTAGAATACAGATAAAAGACTCAGCCCTGGGACAGCCATCTTAAAAAGAAAAAAACAAAAAAAACTTTTCTAGGGGATTTAATTAATAAATACTTCCAGCGCTTCTATGACAGGCTCTTTTCTAAGCCCTTTAGAGTGTAAGTATCTTGCCTAAGGTCCCAAAGCTAGTAAGGGACAGAGCTAGGAACTGTGCCCAGGCAATCGGGTCTCTGCTCGTAACCATCAGGGAAGAGGTGGAGCTGAGAAAGAAACCACCAAAGGCGACTGAGAAGGAGCAGTCAGTGAGGAAGGAGAGAACCAGGAGAATGATGGCCTAGAAGCAAAAAGAACAAAAGCAGTACTTCAAGAATGCTGAGTGACGTGAGAGACTGAGTCAGATGAGGACAGAAGGAAAGGCCACTGCGCCTGGCAACTGTGTGGGTTACTGGTGACCCTGCCAAGAGCAGTTTCAATGGAGTGGGATCCAAAGCTGGTGTGAAGTGACTTCAAGAAGAAGAGGAGACAGTGACTATAAATAACTTTTGAGAAATTTGATTATGAAGAGTAGGAAAAAAGGGGGTCACTGGAGTTGGGGCACGTTCTTATACAGTTATGAACAATCCAGTAAAATGAAACAGACCACTGATACAGGAGGGAAAGGACAGGATCCAGAACCTGGGTGGGTGGGTCTCTGCGGCAGGCAGGGCCCTTCATCCACACAATAGGGCAGGTAGATGGATATGGCAGGTGGACTAGTAAGAAGGCTCGGAGATCTGGTAGGAGAATGTTAAGGGAGTGTCTGTCTTATTTGCTTTGCTATCACAGTTAAGTATAAAGGAGGTTATCAGCTGGTGGGGTAGGGGCGAAGAATAGAAGATACACAGTAAATATGAAGACAATAAAGTATGAAGTGATTTCAAGGAGTGAAGATATAATGTTCTATGTCAGAAAACGTAGTAGGGCTCATAGTCAGTCTGTAGTCAGCATCTAAAATGAGATCAGTTAGCACACTTCTGTTTTTTTCCAGCAGCGCCGCGCTGCTCATATGCAAGTGGGGACTAGTGCAGAGCTAGATTTAAGCCAGGGCTTTGAACTGGCAAGTTCTGGTTCGAATCCCTGCTGAGAATTTGCATTTCTAACAAGTTCCAAGGTGATGCTAATGCTGCTGGTTAGGGACCCGTTCTGAGAACCGCTAGCAGAGCAGTGGTTCTCAAAATTTTACTGTACATAAGAATCACCTGGGGGTCTTGTTAAAATGTAGATTCTGATTCAGTATATCTAGGGCGGAAATGCAAATTCTCAGCAGGGGTTTGAAATGGAACGACCGGTTCAAAGCCCTGATTTAAGCAGGACTTCAGTTTTATTAAAGGGAACTGCAAAGCAAGGAGAGAAACAGTGCGGGAAGTAAGAATGGTTTTAAGGGAGTGAATATGAAGACAGACCTTGGATTCCTAGGTGGGTAAGGAGGGGACGGATGGTGAAGGACAGAGGTAGGGTCAACGGGTCAGCACATCTGGAGCACAGACATAAGTATTAGCTTACAGCACAAGCTAGAAGGATACTGGGTGGTGACCTGTAAGCGGGCCACGTGAAATTGAGATTTCAGAGGTAGCATATGATAGGTGAGGACCAGATTGAGAGCCTGTCCACAGTACCAAACTACTTGCTGTCATGGAGACCCCATGTGTGACAGAGTAGAACTGTGCTCCACACAGTAGGCAGTGGCTAAGGATGGAAGAAAAAAATCATTGGAAATGGAAGTGAGAGGCCAGGGGATTGGATGGATCATCCACGTGCATCCTGACATTATCGGGTTAAAGGTGTCAACATAGGAGAAGAAAGGAAGACTTGAGTAGAAGCTGAAACTGGCAAGGCTGGAGGGTTGGTGAAATGACAGCCGGAAGAAGAGGTGGGAATGATGCCATCTTACATGAAATCCAAAAAGAGCTGAGAGTTTTGAAAGGAGGAGAAATGCTTTGTAAGTGGCAATAAGGAACAAGGAGAGCACCAATCCACCTCTAGGCCCTGAGTTGGGTGGGTTGTGTGAGAAAAATTAGTCTCTACTTGGAAGGGATGAAAGGAGGCAGTGTCCCCACTCAGGGGGACAGCCAGTTTCAGTTTGAGTAAGAAGGCCAATGTTCAGAGATGAAAAGATGAGGGAGTCAGAGATGATGGTAAATTCTAAGAAGGCACGTAGAACGAGAAATTAGGTCAGATTAGAAGATGTGCACAGTAGCACAGGGAGTGGATCTAGATAACAGATAACTAGGAAGACCTGGACTTCTGAGACTATGGAGATAACATATATGGGAAGTATGGTGGGATTATCTGAGGTGCTCTCTTAAAGGAAGATAGGGGATCAATATAAACCAGAAGGATGGTGCCACTGGGCGAATGCTCTCTCCTGTAGCTAGAAGTTTTCTGACAACCAAGGCACCAAGCAAAGGTCTCTTTTAGGGAGGCACTTTTTTGGTAACTGGGAGCAGAGACTCTTCACCTCCCTCCAACTTTTCCCTCTTTTCTGTACCTGGAGTGCGTCTCCGGTCAATCAGGGAATCCTTTGGTGTCATTGGCTCGTCATCAAAGTCAAACTCCGTTGGCATGTGCGGTCTGGGACAGGTAGACAGCAAACGAAGGGTGAGGGTGGCTCCCTCAAACACCCGTACATGTGCTTCTCCCCAGCCTGCCTCATGTTCCCCTTCTGCTCTCTTCACGTCCTCCACTTTCCATGCTCCTGGGTCCCACCTTTTCTCCTTCCCTATTTCCCCCTGGCATGAGAGAAGTAGCCCCAGGGACAAGGTATAAGGGTGCGTTCTCACTTTTCCTCTTCCTCCTCTTTGGCCTCCGGTTCCTCATCGGATCTCTCCTCTTCACTCTGGGCCTCAGGTGTGGGCGGCCGGCGGGGCAGGATCTCTGCCTGAAGCTCCAGGGTACCATGGGCAGCCAGCAGCTCATAGAGCCGCTGGATTTCGGAGGGCGGGGGCATCCAGGCCGCAGGCAGCTCCACCTCCTCATCGCTGCAGGGCACGCACCAGTCCTCGGATTCTCCCTCTGCAGGCTCTTCCCCCGCAGCGCTGGGGGCTTCTTCCTGCGCCTCCTGTGCCCCAGGCTCCTCTCGCTCGGCCTCCTCCCGGTCTCCTTCCCTGTCTTCCTCGGCCTTACTGACCGAAGCAGGGGGACCTCCGGTGTCCTCCACGGCCAGGGCCTGGAGGCCGGAGGTCACTTCCCCTTCTTCAGACAGAGGCGCCGCCGTGGTGGCCGCAGGGTCTCCATGACCCCGAGTAAGGGACATAGGCCACTAGGGAAGTGGCCTTGCGAAGATAGGAGATGCAGGGGTACTAAGCCGGGGGTCCACCCCCCAAGGGATAAGGCTCCCCAGGGGTATAGGGAATGTCTCTTCAACCAATCAGGTTCTCACAGCGGTCCCTGCAGTCAGACCGCCGGTCCCCAGGAGGGGGCGCTCGGCTCCCCCCGACCCCGCCCAACGGATCCGATATTCCCGGGGAGCGGCAGAAACCACTTTTCGAGCCCGAGAGGTCAGGGAAAGGAGCAGACCCACTCTTCTCGCCTTCACGCCGCCGCCGCCGCCCGCCCGCCGGCCCGTGCCACACCTAGACAGGGCGCCTTCTTTTCAGACCTTGCAGTTCGGGTACGCGCCACCTCAGCCGCGGTATGCACCTGGAGCTAAGACCCGCCTCTCCGGCGCGAAGGGTCACAGTATGTAGGCGCACAGATACGGCGCGGGAGGATTGGTTCTACAAAGCTACTTAGAAGAGGAAAGCAAGGGAAAACTTGCACATGCGCAGGAGGGGGAAACTCGCATAAAAGGCTTCGGCCCACAGTAAAGATGGCCACCTGGAAGACGCATGCGCATATCACCCAGTAGGCTCTGCCCGCAGGGAGGCAGTACCGCTGGCACAGTGGACGAACGCCAAGGACCAACTGAGGCTTGAGGCGAGTGTCATGCAGTCTCCGTTTATTGGTGTGTCATACCCATGCAGCATCCGGCATACGAAAAGGGGGAATCAGTTTGATATATATGTATTGGGAATTCTAGTTTCCCCCCCTTACTTTTTTTTTTAAAAAAAAACAAAAAACCCGCCAACTCCGATTCGCGTCGGTAGCTCGGTCCCCGCCTCCCCTACGGGCCGTCGGGTGCAGCAAACCTCCCTTGTTCTGTTAGAAAATAAATTACAGAGCTCCCCGTCCCCTCCTCGGCAGCTTTGGTCCTATTTTTTGGATTCTTTCCTTACAAAGACGTGAATGACATGAGCCCCGACGCCTTTGGAAATAAACACACTGACTGGCGTTGAAAAGCGCAGGTGGGGCGGGTCGACAAGATTGACCAGGGAAGCGTCAACCGCTGCGCCCCTCCCTTCTCTCCTGTGCTGGTTCGGAAGGCGTGTTCGCCACCAGGCACATGCCCCCAGAAGCGGCCTGGCCGCCAACTCTGCGACCTGTGAGGCGCCCTGGGGGCGTCTGGGCCTGGGTGGTCCCGGCAGAGAACAGTCGGAGCCCCGGGCCCGGGCTAGGGGGCCCTCTCCGGGCAACCTCCTTTCCCCTAGGCTGACCTAAGTGCTGGAGTTTTTGCAGAATAAACAGTGGCAACAGGGTGGAAGGGAGGATGCTGAAGGGAGATGAGGAGGGCAGGAAGAGGACGGAGGTGGGGATGTGGAGAGGGAAGGGAATATGATAAAGGGGAGAAGGAGGTGGGGATGTGGAGAGGGAAGGGGATATGATAAAGGGGAGAAGGAAGAAAGGAATGCGGAAGATACCAAGACAATGAAAGCTGGGTTGGGAGGGGGAGGCTAGGGCACTGGTTGAGGTGCAGGGAGACTGGGAGAGATGCAGGGAGGCTGAAAGAATGCAGAGTTTGGGAGATGTTCAGGGAGATCGACAGAAGTGCAAGGAGGTTTCAGAAATGCAAGGATGGGGAGGCCAAGAAGCTAGAGGGGATGCAGGCAGAAGTGTAGGGAGGTTGGAAACAGTGCAGGGAGAAGGGAGGCCTACGGTTGGCAGAGGAGCCTGGCAGGATGCAGGAGCAGGAAAGAAGCTGTAAACAAGGCCGCTCAGGCTCCCTTGGTCCCTATGGGTGGGGGCCAGGGCCATCGATTGGGCTCCCCCGAGGGGAGGGATGGGCCCAAGGCAGCTCCCAACAGGAAGAAAAGTCTTGGAATGCAGGGCAGAGCCCCTCACTTATACACTGTGGGAGAGGAGAGGGAGGGACAGACGGAGACCGTGGTGGGGTGGGTAGAGACAAGGAGAGACAAAGGAGGAGTAGGGAGGACAGACAGGAGAGAGCAGGAGCGGGGGTTAGTAAGGCTGCCCTTGACAACCCTTCCACTCCTCCCGGCCTGTCCCAGATCCCCACTCACCGCCTAAGTTGATGACGCAGGAGGCGATGATGATGAGGACCCCCCCCACCAGCGCCACGATGCTTAAGAGCTTGGCCACACGGCCCAAACGCTGGGCCCCATCCACGTCCCCCTGCTGCAGGCTGTTCCGGGACTGGGGTTAGGGTGAGGGTGGGGACCATGGCCCAGGTCAGGAGAAGCCCACCCGGCAGAGATCAGGTGAAAGAGTCGTCCAGTAGGCCAGCCCCGTGGACAGTGGTTAAGGGAGGAAGGAAGATTGGAGAGGAGGCGGGGGAGGAGAGCACAGGTCAGCAAGAATGTGTAAAACATGTGCCTTGACATCCCTCCCAACCAAAAGGGTAGGGCAGTGGTGGCTCAGAGGGTGATGTCCTGGGAGAAGCAAGCAAAGGACCAGTAATTGGGGAGGTGAGATCCATGCAGAGAGAAGAGGGAAGGCAAGGCCACTCCTGGGGTTCTGTGCCCGTGCTGGCAAGAAGCTGGGAGACATAGCAGACCTGGGCCAGGGTCCCGCGGGGCTCACCATGACGGCATAAGCGAAGGCCACAATGTTGACGGGCCACATGGGGCAGAAGCAGGACAGGATGGCGAGGATGATGTAGTCCTGAGGTTTCTGGGTGCCTTCACCCACCTCCACCCCAGGCCCTCCCAGCTGGGAGCTGGGGTGGCGGCTCAGGCTACCTCGGGGAGATCCTGGATGCCCACTGTGAACCCTTCCCATTCGTTCCTCCTCAACCAGCTGCTGCAGCACTCGAGGGGGAGCCCCATTGGCTGGGGGGATTTTGGTTGAGGGTGGTGAGTGAGGCTGGGGGGCTGGACCCTCTTCCTCATCGCCAGCCTGAAGGGGGACCACTGCCCCATTCTCCTGCTTTTCTCCCATACTCTCTGTCAGGGCCTCGGGGCTTGGGTCCTCCTGGGTAGGGGGCTCTGGCTGGAGGGCTGGCTTGGGAGTGGGCTGGGAACCTGGCTGGGGGTCTGGCTGAGGTTCTAACTGGGGGTCCTGTTGGGGAGAAGGCTCTGAAGCTGGCTCAGGTGGGGCTGCAGACTCCAGCTTGGCAGAACCCTGGCCTGCAGTGGCCTCTTTGCTCTCCTCTGATTTGGATGCTGGGTCTTGGCATGCTTCTTCAGGGCTGGAGCTGGCCTTTGATTTCTTTCCTGGGCTTGAGCTGACGTCTGTGGCCTGGGCTGTTTCTGGGGCTCCAGCCGGGGTCTCTGTGGTTTCTGGAGCCAGCCCAGCCTTGGGCTCTGAGTCTACGGGGACCCCACTGGTGTCTGGGTCTGGCTGCTTGGCCTCTGACTCATCTGGGACCCCGGCTGGGACTGGGGGAGGGTTAGTTCCAGCTTCAGGATGGTCAGCCCATTCTCCCTGGGTCTGGTGACCCTCTGCGACCCCCTTCATCTCAGAGCCCTCAGAGCTGTTGGCTGCCATCCTGAGATGGGAGAGGGGAGAGGGCCCTTGTGGGGAGGAGGGAGCAGCAGAGACAGCAGCAAATCCTGCAAGAGGAGGAAACAGGCTTGGTGTGAGGAGGGAAGAGGTGGCCAGGTCTCAGCACTGCCAGCCCAAGAGGGCCATGCTCCTGTCTCAGGGCCAGCCTTGGGCTGTCTCTGGGGAGAAGAAAAAGTTGTGGTTTTCTTTGCCTTGGGTGGGATATCCCTGGGAGGGGGATGCTCCCCTTAAAGTCTGTTCTGCTTGGAGAGCCCTGGGAAGATTAACCCTTTTGTGAACAGGGCTCTCCCCATGATCTCTTCCTGGGTTCTCCCCAGCAAGATCCAGACTCAGATACTAATAGATGCCTCAGTTCCCCAAAATCAACAGCTGTGCAGACACACGGAAACTCCGACAGGCAGACAGAGCAGAGGAACAGTCCACTCGCTCTGCATCCTCCCCTCCTCCCTGGGCGCCCAGGCGGTGCGGTTTTCTTGCTGCGTGTTGGAAGCGCAGACACCTCCGCCCCTCCCTGGGGGACGAGGGCATCTCCTCCAAGCCCCTCCTCAGCCCCTCTCTCAGGGATTCCCTCGCTCCCGGGGGGTCGGCACCTCCTCCTCCCCTTGGAGCGGCGCACCCAGCACCACCAAGCCCGCCCGCCAGGCACCCGCATTCCGGTGCAGCCAGCCCAATGTCCGCTGTCTGTCCATCCACTCCTACCCACAGCCTCAGTTAGTCCCCGTCTCACCTCGACGCCGGTCTCCGGGCTGCTCCCGCCGCCGCCGCCGTTGCAGCAGCCGCAGCCTGCGAGGGAGCAAGTCAGCGAGCGAGCGAGCGAGCGAGCGAGGGAGGCGGCGGGTCTTCCCTCCTCTCCGCTCCCGTCCGCTCGTCCCCTCCCCTCAGGTCCCCTCCCCTGCGCTCTGCCGCCTCGCACCGCCCCCGCCCCTCGCACGCCTCCCGCCCCTCCCTGAAGGCCCTAGGGAGCCACGCGTGGCTGGCCCCGCGTTACCTGGGCAACCGGCCGGGGAACCGCTCGGACCCGCTCCCTGCCCCTTCCCACGCGCACCTCCGGGGACGCCCCTTTCCCAAGCCCCCGGCCCCTCCCGCTAACGGTCACCAGGGATCCTGGCAGAGGCAGGGGGCTGGGGTAAACGAAGAGAGCTCTGCGAGACGGAACCAAAGAGGCAGGCAGGCCCCGGTGGAGGAACCCCATGAGCATAGAGGGGACAGGAGATACGGCAAAGCTTGGAGGAGGCCGCAGAAGAGCAGGGTGGGGTTTCAAGGAAAGGGAGCCCGCAAAACAGGAAGTCCCTCCACCCTCAAGAAAGCAGCAGCAGAAACAGGCACTAGAAGCTTGAGAAAGTCTGGAGGAGACAGAGCAAGGACTGGGAAGGAAATTCCTAGAAGCAGGGCAGAAACTGCAGGGCAGCTTTGGGGTTACTGGCCCAGGAGCCGCGTAAACGGAGGGTGAACAGGCAGTTTGGACCATGCCAAGAAGGAGGGGGGCGAGTGGGGAAAAATGCAGTTTTTATTTTCAACTTCACAGCTCCCAACCTGGGGGCTCAGACTTCCCCCACCATTCTGCAGCTCCAGCATCCATCATCATCTTTCAGGGTCCTAATCGTGTGCAGGTATCTGGCTAGGGCTGGGTTGGGGGTCTGAGCAGCAGTGGGTGCGGATGGAAAACTAAGAGTGGCATTTTCATCCAGCAGCTGTTTGGTTTCTAGCCAGGGCGCCTTCAAACCTCCAGTGGCTATTCTGGGCCTGTCCAGATTGGGTATTCCCCAGAGATCTGGGAGTCCTGGAATTTGCTCTCCACAGCCACTGGAGCCTTGGCCCCACCCTAAATCTGGGAGGCGGTCACTGGAGCCTCCTCTGGGGAGGGAGGAGCCAGAGCCCAGAGCAAGGCTGGGACTTAGACCAGATCCAGGAGAAAGAAACCCCTTGAGGTGGAGACAGAAAGCTTGGTGAGGGCAATTCACTCCACCCAGAGCCAGAGCCAGGTTTTTATTTAAAATTTATTGTAATGGGGTCCGCGCAAAGGGAGGGGGGAGGAGGGTAGGGAACATGCAGGGGACACAGGAACACGATGACATGGCCAGGGCCACAGCTTCTGAAGTGGGGAGGAGGGATGAGAAAAAAAAAAGGCCAGGGCTGGAGCCGGGGTGGAAGAGGGAAGGGGGAGCCCCCACCCCCAGGAAGCACCTGTAGTCCCTGGATCCCCCCACGATTCCATCTCTTGTTCTGCCTCTGGCCCTAGTGGCTCCTTCCTTTGCTCCCCTAGACTTTTTTTTTTTTCCCTGACAGATTCTCAAGTAGGGGTGATGTTCAGGGCCTGACCCCAAACAACTCCGCCTTATGAAGGTACAACCTTTGCCTTCCCTGCTTCTGCCCCTTCTCAAATCTTGCCGTGTTTCATCTGGGACAGAATCTCTGATTCCCCTCCTTTCCCTCCTCCCTCCCCCTGGAAGAGGGAAAAAAAAAAAAAAACAAAAAAAAACAAAGCACCAACTCCCCAAGGAGGGGCAGCAGACAGTAGAGGGGAGTGAACTGGAAGGAGAGCAAGAAGGACCACTGAGGGAAAGGCTCTCAAATCCCTGGGAGGGCAGGGCAGGGAATTACAGCGAGAAGAGGGAGTGAGGGCAGTGGCCGCTCCTGTCCTCTGCCACCCCTGCCCACTGTCCAGGGGACTTCAACACAACCGAGGGACAAGTGTGTGTGGGGTCAGGTCTGACAGGGAGAAGAGAGGAGCAGGAGAAACAAATCGTTAAAACCTAGTGAATTCCCCTAAGAAAACATGTTTTCTTCCTCTTTTCCTTCAGGAGGCTCCTTGGTTGGTGGGGCAAGTATCGAGGAGTTGGTGGGAAAAGGGGGGAAGAGGAGAGGGTACCAAGGGACTTTCCTCCACTCTTTCCCCCCACCAACTTGGAGCTCACCAGGGCTGGGAGGGAAGTGGCTGAGAGCTCACAGGCACCCCCTCAGCCCCTGAGAGGGATCCCACAGCTGTGGGAGGGGCTGCCACTGCCGCTGCTGCTGCTGCTGCCGCCGCCGCTGCTGCCATTGGACAGACCTCACCAGTACCTGCAGTGAAAAACACCAGAATATCAGTGTCATATGAATGGCAAGAGCCTTGCTCCTTGCCCCAGACTCCTTCCCAGACTTCCTCCCCTGGGACACAGCCGTTGCTCACTTCCTGTTTGGTCCCCAGAGGCTGCAGCCTGCATCCTTACCTAGACAGAGCAGTCCTCCCTGTCCCAGAAGTATCCCTAACCTGGGTGATGGACGGGCATCCCTGGCCTTCCTGCAATCCCCTATTGGGCCCTTTGAGACCCCTTGTCCCACACACCCCACCCCACCCCCCCCAGCCATGCCCCACGCCTTGCCTGATGGGTGCGGGGGTCCCCCTCAGCAGGTGGGCTGTGGCTGGGGGGCATCTCCCGGGACAGGGGGGGCGGCCCCCCCCAGATGGGTCTGCATGTGGCCGGCCAGCTGGGCAGGGGTCTTGCAGTGCACGCTGCACAGCTTGCACAGGATGCGGTCAGCCCGCGGGGCCTGGAGCCCATGGTCCTTCACCGCGTGGATGCGCAGGTATGCTGCTGTGGTGAAGCCTATGGGTGGGGGGTGGATTGGGGTAGGCGGGATGGGGGTCAGCCAGGCGGAGACCCCAGAGACGGGGCTGTTCTCCTAGGCTGGGGACACCCTCCTCAGATGGCCCTGTCCTCCTCCCACCACATCCTTGGTAGCCTGGGGCCAACTATTCTGCTGGGGCTGGTGGGGCATAACCCCTTCCTAAGCTTGGGGCCTTGGTACCCACAGAGCCCATTCTCTGGCCGAGAGAGCTCTACTGGTGTGACAGAACTCTGATACCTAGCCACTTGAGGGGTTGACCCTCAGCAGAGACGGCTGTGTCCCCTCCTCCTTCCAGTGTCCCACATATTCTTGGCTCAGTTACTCAGTTAATAAGTGACTTTAAAAACAGCTTCCTCTGCTACTCGGGCAGGGTTAAACCCCTGCCAACGTACTCCGCTTGTCACAGAGAGTGGAGACAAGAACTTGTGCTGCATGGTTGAAATATCGTCTTTAAACCCTAGGGAACTGGCTCTCTTCCCCAAAGCAGCTGTGTCCCACTGCCATCTCCCCACCCACCCACCCCTAGGAGACTGACTCTTTTTGGGAGACTGTCTTCTCCAGCCGTGACCTCTGATAACTTAATGATGTTCACTCACCCCAATGCTGCTTCATTTGTTTCCTAAAGGGCTCTAGCTGATGCCATGAGCTCTTGGCTACAACACCCTAATGCACATCGGTGAAAAGCCACTGACTTTGTCTCCACCCTTTGTCCCTAGCCCTCCCAGCATCCCTCAGCATGTACCTTTGTTGCAGAGCTCACAGACATGGTGAGGGCCCTGGCTGTGCACCTTCATGTGGTCCGAAATATAAGCCGAGCTCAGCATCTTGCCACACACATGACATGGCACCTTCTCCTCGTGTCGTACTGTGTGTGCCCGGAGTCGATCCTTCGTAGCAAAAGCTGCCTCACATTTCTGGGGAGGGGCGAGGGGCGTGGGGGGATGTCACAGGAGAGTTAAAGCTTGGGGGAGTGGGGGAAAGGGAGGCAAGAGGTTAAAGGAATCAGAGCCTTGGGGATCTTTGATCTGTAGGAAATGGGAGTGAGATGAAGAGGTCTTGAAGAAGGGATGAGAAAATGGAGTGAAAAGGCAAAAAGAAGAGAGAGAAAAAGGGGGTCTGAGAGGCTGAACTCAGACAGCTACAATGGGGATCAAAATCATGAAAACCAGGACAGGAGGAAGTGGGCTTCCTACCTCACATTTGAATGGCCGTTCTGTTGAGTGCACTTGTCTGACGTGACTGTTGAGGTGATCCGGCCTGGGGATACGTGGGGGTTGGGGTTAGGGCTGGGGCCCTATGGCGATGGGGTGCCCCAAATCTTCCAGCTTAGTACAATAGTCTCTTCAAAGATCCCTGCATTTTCTCCCGAAGCCTGGGGCTTTGGAGTCCTGGTTCAGCAGGAAACCCCTCCTCTCCAGCGGGATTCCTCCTCCTCCCACTTGAAGCTTTCCTTCAAGGACCCACCTCCTTTGCTAAGTACCACCCCCTGCTCCTTGGTAACTAGGAGAGGCCTTCCTCCCTCCTCCCTGGGAGTGGCTCCCGGTCTCCAGCCTCGGGAGAGTCTCCTCCCTCCCTACCAGCCAAGGCCAGGCCACCTCCGTTGCCCGTCCCTCCCTCCCCACCAAGTGGGCGGCTGCAGCCCCGTGCACACCGGGAGAAGCTCTTGCCACAGTGGGAGCAGTTGTAGGGCTTGTGTACAGCGCCGTCATGTGAGCGCACGTGGTAGCTCATGCGGTCCTTGCGCTTGAAGCGCTGCTGGCACACCGGGCACTGGTAGGGCTTCTCGTCCGAGTGCGACAGCTTGTGTCGGTTCAGGTGGTAGACGTCGCGGAAGGCCTTGCCGCACATCTCGCAGGCGTGGTTCTTTCGAATGCGCTTTCCCGAGGCGGTGGTGGTCACCACACCGCCGGCGGCCACTGCGGCCGCTCCGCCGCCAGCGCCCGCCTCTCCCCCTCCCCCGCCGGCTCCACTCAGCTGGGGCACGCTCAGGAGGCTCAGGGGCACCATGGTGGGCATCTTCATAGCGCCCGAGGGGACCCGGCCGGCCTTGGCTCCCGTGTGGATGGCCTCGTGCCTCCGGAGATTGTAGCCGTTCTTGAACTCCTTGGCGCACAGGGCGCAGATGTAGGGCCCCTTGCTCTTTGTCTTCTTCTCCAGGGCAGACACTACGGGGGCCACGGCGACCGTCGAGGTCGGGGCTACGACGGCGGTAGCTGCGGCTGCGGCGATAGTGGTGGCAGAAGCGGGGGGCGCGGCCTCGGCGGGGGGCGCCGAC